TTATATAATAATTATATTATTAACATTAATATTTTATTTTTTATTAAAAAATTAATACTTTTTTTTATGTTCGCAGATAAATTTGCCTGTATTACACAGACAAAGGGATAATATAGTATATCTATAACACAAAGAAATTTACCTTTTGTAATAACAAGTCTAAATAAGAAATTTGGTTTTTATATTAAAAAAACATATTAATAACAATTATTTATTAAAAAGCATTTGATAATATTGAATTTTTCTATTTTGAAATACTAATATTAATTCAGAAAACCAGTGATTGCTTTTTTGGTGTGCCTGCATTAAAATAATACAAAGTAAACAAAAAATTATAAAATTATATATATAGGGATAAATGTATATGAAAAGTAATAATGTAAATAATAATTATAATGGTTCTAATGAATATCAAAAAGCAATTGATTTTTTAAAAAAAAGATGTAATTGTAGTTGTTTTTCAAGAATTCCCAAGGAAAATTTTGCAGAATTAAGAGAATCTTTTCAAGCTTTTTTTAAACCAGAATAAGACATATTTTTAATGGTCCAACTTAAGGCAATGGATGATAGATTAATAAACATTAATAGACGCCTTAAAAAGAAAACCAGATCTAATAAAAAAACTTTCTACTATTAAAATCACAATACACTCCTTTATCAAGAAACTTATCTCAATATACTAGAGATTGGTAGAACTTATTTTAAAAATATCAGAAATCATCTAATAAATAATGGTCTTTTACCAAGAATTTATGGTAATATTAAAAGAATACCTCAATGGAAAACTAAGATGGTGATTGATAAAAATGTTGCAGAAGTAGTAAAGAATTTTTTAGAAAATTATGCAGAAGTCTATGGATTACCAAGTTCAGAAAGAAGTATCAATAGAATAACTCAATCAATTATATTTTTACCAGCTGAAATGAGTTATAAATCTGTACACAGAGATTTTCTGGTTGGTTTAGAAGAAGATAGCAAATTGAAATCCTTAAAATATGATGTCTTCAGAAAATTATGATATCAATTGATACCAGAAATTCAAATTATGAGTCCCAAAATTGATCTGTGTGATACTTGTTAACATTTTAAAAATGGTTTACATTATAATGCTTGCTAACAGGAAGAAGCTAAAGAATTACTCAAAAGATTTAAAGAACATCTGTTTAAGGCAAAATTAGAAAGAAATTATTATAATAAAAATACCAAATTAGCAGAAAAACAAAGAAAATTAGTTAATCAACATTATTCAAAGGATAAAACACAGCATTGTAGTATTGATGTCACTGCTCATTATAGTTATGATTGAGCTCAAAATGTTCATGTGTCACATTTAGATTAACAATTAAGTAAAATCTATTATCTTAGTCTATGTAAAGTTCATTTATTTAGTATTCAAGATGAAGCAGTAAGAGAACAAATCAATTATATTCTTAATAAAGATGAAATTATAGGAAAAGGGTCCAATGATACACTTAGTATAATTTTTAATGAAATCAAAAAATTAAATAAAGGTGAAAAGTATTTAAAGATTACTTATGATAATGCAGGTGGTCAAAATAAAAATAATGTAACAATTTAGTTTTATTTATATTTGGTAATTTGTGGATATTATGAAAGTATTAAATTGAATTTCATGATTGCTGGGTATACCAAATTTAAATGTGATGGTAGTTTTAGATTGATTAAAAAACTTTATAGAAAAATAAGTATAAATTGTGTGAACCATGTTGTAAAAGTTATGAAAAGATCAAGTCCAGTAGGATTGAATAAAGCTCAATATTATGAATATAGAAAAAGTTTTCAATACTTAGATATTAAATCTATTTTAGGAATTTATTTTAAAAAATTACCAAGCATTCAGAAATATCAATATTTTCTTTTTGAAGCAATTAATCTTGGTACAATAAAAGTTCAAGAAGTTGCTAATAGACCTTTTGCTAAATTCAGTTTATTGAAAACCAAGAAAGCAAATATTTTTGAAGAAATTAGAACTTTATCTATTTTAGTATTAATACCACCTCTTTTGGATTACAAAAAACAAAAATATCTTTACCAGAATATTTGTCCATTTGTTAGAGATGAATTCAAAGATATTACTTGTTTAAGACCAAAATAAATGTATTAAAATATATTTATATATATAATTAATTATAATAAATGTGTAACTATTAATTATTTTTCATAACAAACAATGAATATAAAATCAAGCCTGATTAACAAATTGATTAAAGCTAAAAGCAAAACAAAAAGAAAAGGATTTTAACAATTTAACCAGTATTAAGGAAAAAATTAGAATATTTTGTTTTATTTAACAAGACTATACTGATAAAGTAGTAATAGAGAACTTTTCTGATTTAACTTAGTTGAATTTAGGTAATAATGAATTAGAAGAGATTATTATTTGCAATTGCCTTGACTTAAAATTAGTTCAAGTAGTATACAACAAACTTATTAAGTTAAAGATAGAGAATTATCCTTCTGTTTAAGAAATTTATACCCATAATAATCAATTAACTAAGTGAAAATTTTTCGTAAAAGAATTAAAAGCAAAGAATCTAAGAATTATTTCTTATAGTAATAATCCTTTAAGTGTAAAGGAAAAAGATAGATTAGACACTTTGGGATTAGAAGATACTATAAAAAGAAGTAGGGTAAATGGTGATGTTCAAACTTGACTAGATGTTAAGTATCCTCTTGATAAAAGAAGTGAAATGAAGAAACTAGATCTTAGTTCTTTAAGTTTACAAGAGGATTTATTATTAGAAGGATTTACTAATTTAAAAAGTTTAGATTATAATAATAATAAACTAATTGATTTGGATTTGTATGAGTATAAGAAATTAGAATATTTAGATTGTTTGAATAATTATCAAAATGAAGAGGAAATTAATTTTTTAGATGTTAGTGTATGTAAGGAATTAAAAGAATTACATGCTAATCATTGTGGCTTAGGATTTTTAGAATTGGTAGAACAAATACATATTTTAAATTTGGCTTCCAATAATCTAAGCAGCCTTAGACTTGATTTAACTAATCTTACTGATTTAGAGTATTTAAATGTTAGTTTAAATGTTTTAGATAATTTAAATTTGACTAATAATAAAAAATTAAAGTATATTTACTGCTATAAAAATCAAATTAAAGAACTAAAAGTAAGGCATTTAACAGAATTAGAGAACTTATTTTGTTATCATAACAATTTGAAAAAATTGGATTGCAGTAGACTAAAAAACTTAAAAGATTTATATTGTGCTAATGCTTCTATTGATTTTGACAATTTACTAAAATTATTGAATGTTGATGGTTGTGAATTATTAGAGAATTTGGATTGTATAGAAAATAATGGTCTGAATGAATTAAATCTTATTAATTTACCTAAACTCAGTTTTGTTTCTACTAAAGAATGTGGTC